GAGAATTTGCCATCTAGATGAGCCTTCTTGTTTTTAGCAGTAGATGAAACTCTTCGTTCTACCGCCATGCTGAGTTGCTCCATGAGATATGGTCCTATTGTCCTCAAGCAGGTCTCCCTATGTTCGTTGGCTATTCTCTCGTATTTCCTAATGCGGTTGTGAGCGTCTGTAATCATGAGTCTGACCATTCGTCGGCCATTCTGTCTAGCTATTATCCAAGCTTGTGGATGGTTTATTGGTGGTCGGTAGGTTACGCTACGTGGAAGGACGTGTTTCCGCAGGCATTCATGGAGGAAGTAGAGTTGTTGTCGCGTGGAGGCTTGTCGGCAGCCGAAAGTCTCCCATCGACGGGCAGTTTTGAGCGTGGAACACCCAAAGTAGTTGGTAATGTGGTGAAATATTGGTAGCTCGGGTGAGTTTATTGGTTGTTGATTAGATGGCTGTTGATCTGTTCGCCGAGCTTGGCAACTGGCTTGCAAACGTTTCGTCACCAATTTACCACAACCATTCCGAGGTGTCTACAAACTCCAGACACTCGACAAAAGTTGGCAACAAAAAAACGTTGACACCTATTATCAGTCATATCTTGCAGCGTCTCCAACCACAAACAGGAGGGATCACGCAGACTTTATCCTGGAAGGCGAGTCGCACCGACAGTACCCAGATTTTTCGTAATCTGTTTCATATCTTTGAGGCATGTCAGAAGTTGAATACCTTTCTGCGCTATTCTAAATTGGATACGGAAAACAGCACCACTTTCGGCAAATGATGATTGGGCATGCGTAGTACATGGCATGACCATCGCAACTTTTGGTGCTGTACACGGCCTTCAGTTGATTCCCTGTCGCGCAATCAAACATTCGTTTTCTAACGCTCTGAGAACAAACAGGTGAACACCTCACGGCCCGCTTTCAATCAATCAACATGGGGGTCTTAAAAACGCTAAGTGCAGTGAGGCGGATTCGTTGGCAGGGGCTGAATAATCTTTCTATTTTCCTCTCTTTGAATCGGAATGCTAAATCCATGACCAAGGTAGTATTAGTGGTCGGGGGAGCCTCTCTTGAAGAAAACACTGTCTATGGGTGGTATGAATAAAGTATAAGGCATCCAATGCCAATTTAGATGATATAATGAAACTGAAAAGTTCGCTTTACGGCACCTGTGATGTAAACACATCCCTATATACACACTTATAGTCCAGAGACACCACCACGCAGATGGCAAATCTCTGTAGGGAAGCTACCATCTGACAAAAGCCAAGCAGAATTGCACCAGATGCTCCCGTTTGTGTCCAAACTTGTGTGCGATCTCGATGTGAATATTTTCACTCTGCTCTTTTTGGCTCGGATTCTTTAAATACCTGGGCAATTTTAAAGAACCTAAATAATCCTGTCGCCAGTTCGCTATATGCATCACACCTGCAAAGTGCTGCTAAAGACTCGGTGGGATCAAACTCAAACGTCATGTTTGCAGACCAGACAATCGACATGGTAGATAAATTCGTTTACCCGACCAGTTGTATAAACTCCAGTCGACTGGCTGGAGACCGAATGGATTACTTTCCGAATAGGGAAGGCCAGGGCAGATTTGACCAGACTATGGCGCCAATGTGACATCAGTTTCCTTGTCGAGTGCAAAGTGTACACTACTGAGGTGAGATCCATACTGCATTATGGACACCACGTGTAAATGGTGTACGAAAGCTGTCAGTGTTTGACCGAAGCATTGGTCGGATCTGGTGGAAACGTATTAGCAACGCTAAGGTATGCACTATGACTTTAGCAAAAAGGGATTTTCCCACGATTGATGAGCTACTGACGCTTCATAGCTTACGCTAGTTAAGAGAATGACATCGGATGACAGAAGACTGTCTGCATCGTACAGCTCCTTTCGCCTAATCCTGTGCTGAGTAGAAGCGACAAAGAGGTGGACGGCCCGTGATTTGACAACAGAGTATGAGGACATGATAAATTATAATTAATAATAATAATCGTTCAGCTGTAACACCCTTTCGGTGCCTAGCTGCCATGTCATGTCACCAAAGCACGAGGACTGAGGCACTCGGGGCGAACCCAGATTTCTCTTCAGGCGTCTGGTGATCCTGATGCAGTGGATCGTGGCGTGGCATCTATGGGAGCTGAGCTTAGCCTCAGGGCCCAGTGCGCTTTACCGGACCAGATTCCAGATAAAACCTTTGCGCGGTTAGATTGCCTGATTCAATCAATATCAATGTATGTCGACGCGGCAACTGGTGTTTGTTTGTTGTGTCAGCATATACTACGAAAGATGGCAGCTGAGGTTGAGAAATATAGCTTCTATCGGGATTTGTCACAGTTGATTCGGTCTGACAGACATGAAGAAGTCGTGATTCTGGCAGGTAATATGAATGTTCAGGTTGGCCGACTAACTCCAGACGATGATTACCTCGGTGACCCTTCAGGGTTGACGCTAATCGCACAAATGATGGGGAACGACCTCAATTGGGCGACGAATATTACTTATTTCCAGGCAGCACAAACATTCACCGCGTGCCTTAGAGGCCACCAAAGGTAAACCACTCGTAAACTCATTCGGACCATGTGGCAACCAGCCAGTGGTTGGGAGCTTCGATACAAGATTGTCTCTCGTTTAGGAGGATACCACTTGACCCTGATCACGGCGTTGGGCGGACACGTGTATCTACTGGTTCCCCCTATGGGACATGTCGGTTGAGGCAAAGGCATTCAGTTCACAACCTGCAAAGCGTCTCTAGCTCAACAATTCCGATGTGATTTGGCTGAGAAGCTCTCAGAACTCGGCCGAAACAATGGCCATTTGGATGGCAACTGGAGAAACGTGGAAGAAGCCCTGCTCATAGCCTCTGAAACCACCTTCCCGAGGTCGCCCGCACACCCCAATGAACACTGGGCCTCGTCACGATCAGCTCAGATTGAAGCCAGAAAAACCACACTAGCAACAAACGACTGTGGTGGCGAACGCAGATCCTCCAAACACCTAATAATGAAGAGCCCAAAGATTGAGTGGATAGCGAAAACCCGACAAATGGAGGGAGCTTTTGTAAGACTGAAGAATCGCACACTGTTCCAACCAATCCGATCAACTGGTCCGAGGAGGTTGGATGTTAGTGAAATGATCACCGAAAAAATGGGAACTCAATTAGTTCACAGAAATGTCCTGAATGATGGGCTCAACACTGAACAACCCAAACCAAAGGAACAAATGAACCTCAGTGGAACCTAGACACCAGGCTGCTATCGACGACGGAGGTCCATCAGGCAACCTCATTGTTTCAGCGCAATAAAGCACCCAGTCCAGATGACGGCACCCCGCACTCCTCAAAGGTGGAGATTTTCTTCTGGCTGTGCTAATGACATTACTCGAAAGTAGCTGGAGTGAGAAAAGAATACCGGCAGAATGGAGCGCCTCGAGCGCAAGGATGTCGTGCAAAAGCCACCTAGGTGTCGATCTAGTGGCCGTAGCTTCCAAGGTACTCTAATACTGTAAAACGAAGGTTTATCCACTATCGGCAGAGTCAGACCAGACATTATGGCGGTGCAACAGTCGGCCTACCCAAGAGGCCCATTCAGCTGCACTGGATGCCCAGTCTACATCTACAGGGTCTTCCCTACTAGGCTGGATGATGCATAGTCTAGCATTCTTCTGGTCCTCTAGGTTGAACGCTGGAACCAGTGCAACCATGTTCCTAAAAGGATGAGGAATTCGAGTAGTCTCCTGCGGATTACCGCTACCTTATGATCAGGCTTTTGAGCCAGTGTGAATGCTTGAGATAGGTTAGCACTAGGTCCCCTCTCTCGCCTACTCTTTTTCTCTTCTTTTCACTCTAGGACTTAATTATATATAACTAGACGAACCTAATGGTTGTACGGCAGTGAAGCATCAGTGTCACAACTGATGTTGCTGTTTTTGATGACGATGATGATTTATTTCCTTGGTGTTGCGTGTCTACCAGGTTTCATGATCAGCACGCATGTTCACTTTCACTTGGCGTTCGATAATCCGTCGGGTCAAGTCATCCTTAGAGCCGTTGGGAACACTTCTATGAAATTCAAGCGGTACCATTCTTCTGTCTGATACACAGTGAGTCAATGGACAGGTAGCACCGTACCACAAGCAGAGGCCCCAGCAATGTGCAAAGAGGTGGTGATCTCATCCCAGTAGGAATTCACATATGATGGTGGAGCAGACTCCAAAAGACGATTCTGATAAATTAGTCTAACATCCGGATCAACCAGGCTCAGTTGCTGAGCGGTTTGTCCGCACTTTTCGCGACCCTGGAAAACGGAGGGGGAAGCAATCCCGGACGAGTGATCGGTCGGAATCCACAAACGTATTCCGAAACGAGCGACTGTTAGCTATTGATCCGCACCACCAGTAAATGACAACGATCAATTTGAGTTTGTAGCTGGCAGCCGTTGGAAAACACCAGAGGGCCAGATTTCGGTTACTTCAGGAATTAGTGCTGCATAAAAAACGGCCTGCCGTCAGCATATATCTGCAGCGATCGTTCGTCACTGTCCGGAGTACCGAGTCCAATCCACATCGACTGCTTAATTCAATCTCGGATGCACTGAATCAACAAACTTGTGCATTCAGATTTTCCGCAACCAACCATTTGAGCTTCCAGCTAGCCGCAGTATGGCACTCAAGGCGTCTTTGATTGTGTCAGAGCTACAGTCGTTAAAGGCATCAGAAGACAGGAAAAACAGATAGCGATAAGCTTAACGCTTGCGGGAACACAGAGTCAACCATCAACGGGTATTGTCAAGCAAGGAGCCTTCCGCCTGACTGATTTAAACGATACCAAACCCTGCACATCCTGCCGTAGCAGCCTCTGGGTCGCCAGACGTACGCAGCCGGAAGCTAGTGGAGCGCGATAGGACAGTTAGCTCAGCCACTGTGTCTGCATCCTGAATTCTTGGGTATCCTTGTTGGGGATATCAATACCCCTCCAAAAACTATGTATTTTTATGTGTGCTAGCGAACTTCCGACATCTTCAAGGCCAAACTATGAATATATATATATGCATTGTCATTTTTTCTCATGATCGCCTGTTGATCGCGTGTTGTTGGATCATTAAAGTTAATGTCCGACGTTTTTCGTCTTCTTACTATCCATCGTGCTAGGAGTCTGGATCAAGCAACATAACTGGGTATAGAGTATTGCCACAATCCGCATATCATATTGTTTGCTCGCTGCGTGATCGAACCGTAACAATCCTGTCTAGGCTTGAGCAACATGGCAGTACCCCAGCCCTCGTACTTGCTCCGGATGGCATGACAGTAAGTCACCGAGAGGGTGTTACAGCGTTCAGTTTCATGATCTTATCAATTCAGGTCTCGAACATTAAAAGCAGCCACACAGGCTGGGCGTCGAGGCTTGAATATCGATTTCGAGATGCATGAGGATGTTGGCGCTGAATGGCGCAAATGTGTGGCCAAAACGGATGCAAGAAGAATGGATATATTAATCAGAACTGACGAGCGTATGCCAGTTGCGTTCATGGCGTCAGTTTCTATCGAGATTGAATGAGTGTATGGGGTGTAGGCACTTCTGATGCTTGCGATAAACCCACTCCCTTGTGCTCAGGCTTTTAAGCTGAAAACTGTCTCAGCAGCATCATCACTGTCACCAGTAAGAACCGCGTACTTGTCATACAGTGATTGTAGGTGCCACAGTTTCGTTCGCCCATGGGAGCTATGCATTGAAGGCAATAGCTTAGATGCATGAGCGCCATTGAAGGCGCGACTGGGTAGTGCCTGATAATGTCACTAACCATTGATATGGTCCGTCCCGGTGTTCCGATACAGGAAGACGGCAATGACCAGCGCAGCTGATTTTGCTGGTAATGGCTTTTAAACTTTGCTGCCAAGTCAGTGTTTGACCGCCTCGGGTTCTCTTTCACCCTTCACGTGGTTGTCCGAAAAGAGCCCTTCGAGGTAGCCGGTCGAGGGCATACGCAGCACGTAGCCAAGCCAGCGCAACCTATGCAGTGTGACCAGTTCGTCTGTCGTGGGCGAGTTATTTCTTCTGAATATCACTCGACATACTCTAGTATTGCTAATCCGGTGCTCCAACCAGATTCGGGAATTGCTTCGAAGAGATCGATGGTTAAGCACTGAAAGTCTTTTGACGTCCTCGGCGCGCAGCGGCAACGTTTCAGATCCATATAATAATATGGAGCGCACCGCAGCATTGTAAACTCGACTCTTGACAGAGGTGATGTCACACCTACGCTGTAGGTGACGCAGGTTCACAAAAGCCGCTCTGGCCTTCACAATCCGTGAGACCACCGGGACTGATACAGCTGCGCTGGTAAACAAATTTGTCTACTACCTCAATCGGTCCATCCGCAAGCATGAGGCTAGGGTCCGAGCCCACCTTGTCTTGCAGTAGCAATTTACACTTTGCTGGTTTGAAGCGCATGGCGAACCGTTAGGCAGGATTATTTAGATTATTTAATATTTCTGCATTACCACGAAGTCAGGTTCAAGAAGAGCTATATCGCCTGCGTACTCGATATCTTTGAGCGGCATTAGGGGTTGAAGGGGTTGAGGGGGGTTGAAGGGGTTGAAGAGGATAGATGAAAGAGGACAGCCTTGTCGGGCACCACTCGATGTAGTTAGCTCAGGCGAGAGCTTCCCGTAGACCTTCACACGACCGCGGGAGTGGGTGTACAGGGCCTTCAGGAGAGTCAATAATTTATGGAGGACATCTTTGTTTCACAGGCATTGCTACAGTGCCTAACGGTCCATCAAGTCAAAGGCAGCCTTCAGACCAAAAAACACAACCATTGTTGACTGCTGGAAGCAGTGTCGCTGTTCTAGAATCTGTCGGAGGGTGAAGATATGATCGATGCAACCTCTTGCAGGACGTAACACCAACTTGATTTTGACGGATCTGCCTCTCTCTGTGTTCAGTCAAATTTAGGAGGATGAAGCCAGAGAGCACGTTCGATGCCACAGCTACCAGACCAATGCCCTGGCGGTTTCACACAGCGTCTGCATAGTCTTTTTGAAGATAGAAATAACTGTCGACATGCCCCATTCTGTAGGGACTTCTACCTCAACCCACATCTTACCAATAGGCTTTGTTAGATGAGTCTGCAGGGGTTCTCCGCTCTCTTTGAAGAGGACTGGATACATACCGTCTGGCTCTGGTACTTCCTCACGTTTAAGAACCGATATTTCGTACTTTGTTTCTTTTTTCAACGAGCAATTAAGGTTTACATTCCACTCACCCGCACGAACTATACCTGGAGGCTGTGCTGCAGGAAGCAAGTTAAACTGTCTTTCGAAATGGTCGACCCACCTTTCCAGTCGATTTTTTTTGCAAGTGAATTGATGAGCCATCTCTTGTACTTATCGTTTCACCGATCGCTGCTTTTCTAGAGCCAATCGATCGTATCAGTTGATATAGGGCACGGCTGTATCCCGTAGCTAAGGCCTTCCCCATCTCCCGAGCTTTCGATGTCCACCATAGCTCTGGATCTTTCCTTAAACTCTTCACTATTCGGTGTTTGAGGGATTTGAGTGCGTTGTCGAACTCGTTGTCTACTGGCCTTCCTGGCCTCAACCATGGATAGCGACCTCGATGACATCCTGGTCTAGTGATCGAGATGGAGAAGACGGACAGACAGCAGTGAACGCCGCCAACATAATTCTTTCCACCTTTCGCCACGCTTCATCCGCATGCTCACTGCCGTCACAGTATCGGTTTGCCGTGGAGAGTCATTGGGCTAGCTCAGATTAATACTGTTGAACTATGGTAGTTCTTCGAAGACAGTGGATTGGCATGCCTCTTGCTGACTTGCAAAGGCTTGAAGGGAAACGAACTGTCAGGCGTGTACCAACCGTGGCGTGACCGGAATGAAGTGGTGTTCCCCAGAAGGGGCGGCAGTCTTGAATTGTGGCTGATGACCATGTGGTCCAACTGGGTCCACGGTTGCTTTGCTGTTGGTGGCCGCTAGATTACGCGATGCGAACGTTTATGTTTAAAGTTAGTACTTGTCAGAAACAGTTCGTGATCAGCACAAAACTGAATGAGTCGAACTCCGTCGTCTGTGTGGCGAGGATCAATTCCGAATCGACCACCCAAATGTGATTCCAAGGAGCTCAGATGACCTACTTGAGCATTCAAATTGCCTGCAAGGATCACGATATCAGTGCTTTTTGCTTGGCAAATGAGCCAGATAATTATCGATAGAATTCAAATTGCTGCAAGGATCACGATATCAGTGCTTTTTGCTTGGCAAATGAGCCAGATAATTATCGATAGAAAGTATCCATATCAGCACCAGAACTGCAGTCCGTTGGGGCATAAGCCGACATTGCAAACAGGCACTGCTTTCATGCCGAGGCATTGGGGTTCATTGAACTGGATAACCGGACGGTGCAAAGACAACTATTCACTGGGATCCAATCCAGCAAAGCGCGTTCAGGTCTGGGGTTGGGCGCAACTCCCACGCTATATATTCCATGAGACATCGCTTCTGGGTCACCGGACACACGGAGGGAGAAATGTGAAAGGGCTGAGTCATCTTTGGCGTTCTGAGATGCATAACCACGCTCGAGGCTTGTATGGGTGTTTCGGAGACACGGTATACATCAATTTTAAGGGAATATAAGGTCTCAGCAAGCATTACCTGTTTGTCACTTTGACATAGAGTACGGAGGTTAAAACCTACATAGAAAGGATCTCGTGGATTTGGAAGGGTGTCATTTTGTGTATTGTTAGTAGTCAGCGGGGACCATAAGGCCAATTGGTCAGATAACTAACAATCAAAAGACCCAGCGACGTTTGTTTGTGTGGTGGGAAGATGTTGGGGAGGGAAATCGGAGGACACCGAAACGCACGGGCAAATGATACCTCACGGTTGCTCAGGAAGGTGGTCTGGTTGAGGTACTTCACGTTGAGCCCTTGACTCAAAAGTCCGACCCACGAGGCGGGGGACAGTAGGATCTTCTTCGGGGAACCTGCCCAAAGCCGGTGATTCAACAGTCTGACCTGCTCGGCCTCAAGAGGTCGGTCCAACTTAAGGGCGCAGGGAATAAGGTATTACTGTCTCATTCCTGATGCGCCCACGCACAGCAGGTGCCTTCTGAGCAGCACCGGGCTCCTTAGTTTCAAAAGTATTTCGACCGTATTGGATAATGTGCCGGCGGTCACGTCAACAGTTGGGCGATCGGAGTGTGCGGTTTTTAGGGTCGATCTTTTCTAACCCGTCCTTCCTCGGGGGAGGGCAGCATCGCTACTTCCATAAACATGGACAGG